ATATCTTGCATGGGTTATCGTTGCGATGTCTGAGTTGGTGCTTCGTCGCAATCGCTGCTCAGGTCGAACAGCAGTGCACATGTGGGTTGGGCGTCGTTGGTTTCGATTTCGCGCTGTCTAGCCTCGGGCGGTTTCGAGAGTGCTCGTACTTCTGGGGATATAGGCGCGGGCGCTGCTGCTGTCGTTGGTCATTGCCCTGGTGGCTGGTAACTGCGTGGAGTTGGTTGCTCAATCGGCATGAGCGTCATGCGGTGGCGCTGGTTGGGGGTGTGGATGGCTACTTCAGCTGAGTCGCGGTCGTTGTGCATGTCGGGAATGGGGGGGTGCGCTCCGTCCTGCTGCTCGCGATCGTAGCCGTCGTCGGCGATGGGCGTCGGTGAGATGTCGTCGTCGCTGTGGTGGTGGGGTCGCCTGTTGTCTCCTGTGGTCGGCGTGCCGTCTGCTGTTGCGGCGCTGTCTGGCAAGCTCGTCGCGTCGCTGTCGAGGTGGAACCCCGAGGGTTGCGCACGCGCGGAGCAGGGCGCAGGCGGCAACGAGGGCTGCCTTGACGGTGCCGGCGCAGACGCGAACCCCAATTCCGCCAGGCTGAATTCGCTGTCCGCGGTGTCTCGCGTCGCGCCTCCTCTCTGTTCCATATTGTCGAGCTCCATTACGTGGGGCTCGATATCTGGTCGAAGTGCCTCGCCTGGTCCCAGTAAGACAGCATGTAGGCATTGTGTTGTTATGCGTTGCCCCTGCGACGGTCGTCTTCATCTTCTTTGAGCGCACGCTTCATGCCCCTGACAGCGTCGCGGTCGCCATTGTATTCCTGGAGTTCGCGCAACCGGTCCCTAACAGTCTCGCAGTCGATCTTCCCTTGTGCCTGGTTAGCAGTCTCGACAGCCTCCTCCAACCGCTGTTGCTGTTGAAAGTCTCGTGTCCTCCCCTCTTCCGCGGCGCGCTGCACGCTGGCGTTGTTCTCGTAGAAGATGCACCGCTGGTGCTGGATTCGCTGCTCGTTGATTTGGGCCTCCTCCTGCTGCCATCTCTCGACCGCGTGGGCTCGTTTCCTTTGGGCCTCCGCGGACTGCGCTTGCATCCCCCCGTAGGCTTCGAGCATCCGTTCTTGGACGTGGGCTTGCTCTTCCTGTTGCGTGCCAGCTCGGAGTCTGGTCGTCTTGCCGCGCTGCTCGCGCTGCATCTTCTCTTGCCCATGCATGTACCTTGCTTGGAGATCCGCGGTGGAGTCGTAGACTTGCTGTTGCTGCTCGATCATGGCCGCCATCCTTTGGTCGTCGTGCTGCATCCTGTCTTCGCGGACCCCGCGTAGCTCGGCTTGGAGTTCCGCATCATGTCGCAACTGAAGTTCTAGTGGGCGATCATAGCCTGGATCTCCTGATGGCACTCATGCTGGCCCGTGGCGGCCCTCGCGCTGACTAACTCGCGGCTCGCTTTGACTTGCTCGTGGATATCGAGTTGCATGCGGCGTCGTTCTCGTTGAAGGCTTTCAGCCTGTTCATGGACCCGCTCCCCGCTTAACTTTACCAGCTGCATCTCCAGCTCGCCTCGTGCCTTGTGCTGGTCGTACTTGTCCTTGTCTGCTTCGGCCTCTCTCATCCCCGCTCTTGCCTCCGCTTTGTAGACCTCCGTCTCGTGCGAGTGCGCCTCTTGCTGCTTGCTGGGGGAATGTGAGGTGATGCTGAGCAGCATGTTGGCGGCCTGCTGTTCCTGGGTCTCCAAGCTCTTCTGCATGTTCCGCATCTTCTCGGTAAGGATCCTGATCTCTTCGCGCTGCTCGGCATGTTTCCTGTTGTGGGATTGCTCGAAGGCCTTCTCGCGCTGCAATTGCTGCGTGTAATTGTCATTGATGAGGTCGTTGATGAGCCTCCTGATGTCATCGTCGGTCTTGCCGTGTACTGGTCGAGCTGCGTGTTCTTCTGTATGTCGTTGCCTTCGTTCGTTTCCTCCTTGCCGATGTTCTTTCTGGGGCGTGGTGTTCGTGCTCTCGATATCTTGGCTGTTTTTTTGTCATCTCCCTCGTCCCCATCGCAGCTGGAGTCGCCCAGCATCTCTTTCAGGCCCCTCATCTTCTTCGACTCGTGGATCAACGCCTTCAGGGAGTTCACGTGCTGGTCGATCTGCTCGCTCTCAACGTTGAGGTCTTTCATCTGCTGGTTGATCGCGTTCTTGCGCTTGCTCCGTTCGTCGATCTCCTGCCTGTATCGACGCATCCGTTGGGTAGGCTCGATGAGTAGCTCGATGGTGGACCTGGCGATGGCCATCTCATTGCAGAGCTTCGACGCGTCCACCTGCGCCTGCTTAGCGTCCAGCGCTTGGTCCGCCAGCCTTGCCAATCTGGCGACCTTTGTGGTGTACCAAACCTTCCTGATGTCGTCCTCATGCGGGGGTAACGAGAAGCTCTCTTGCTCCTTGGTTGCTTCCATGAGCGCCGGGGTGATGGGAAGCACGATATCTGCCTGTTTCTTTGTCAGGTGCTTGCTGTAGTTGGCGAAGTCGTCGCCTGCGTGGGGTTGGTCGTCTTTGCGTTGCGTCCATCGTCTTCGCGAAGCTGATCTCCTTGAGCGTCCTTTCCAACTGCTGCCTTATTTATGTTGGTGCTTGCCGTAGTGGTTGTTCTGGTTGTGGTTGTCGTTGCCGTTGTAGTTGTTATGCTGGCGTTTGCCGTTGTAGCTGTTTTCGGACGGTATTCCTCTCGATTGGGGTCTCCACGGCCACGGCTTTGCTCCGACGGAAGGACCTGGGCCAGCGGTTGAGGACCCTGCTCCTGTCGCTCTTTCCGCTGATCCCCTTTGGTCCCGCCATCCTGTCCAACGGCCCTGCTGCGCCGTCATGTGCTGTTGGTTGCGCTGGGGCTGCTGGGCGCTGTGGTGCTGCTCCAGCCTGCTGGCGGCGGCCGCCAGCCTGACGAGCAGCCTGTCCTGGCAGCGCATGTCCCACTCACGCCGATGCGCAGTTCCCTCTGAAGCTCCGCCTCGGTCCTGTCGCGGCGCCCCGCCGCGGGGGTGGCCGCCGCGCGGCCGCTGGCGCTGCTGTCAGCGGCAGGGCGCATGGAGGCACGGATGGCCCCCTGCCGCAGATGATGGCGCGCGGCACGCGTGAGCCCGGCCTCGCGGGCTGGCCGATGCGCGATGCGCCGTGCCAGCGCGATCGATCGGGCGGCAGGCGCGACCGACCCCGATGGATCGCGCAGGCCCGCCAGAGGCCAAATGGGTTTCCTCCTCCTCTTCCTCCTCCTCCTCCTCCTCCTCTTCCTCCTCCTCCTCCTCCTCCTCCTCCTCCTCTTCGTCATCCTCCTCCTCGCCTTCCTCCCCCTCCTTCCCCCCTCCAACAGATGGTGGTGGTGGTGGAAAACAGGCTCATCAACAGGCGGGTATACCCATGTAACCCCCCTGAAATGGGCACCCGCTCGTCTTGTTACCCCTGGTCTCGGGGAGCCCGGGCTGCCCCCCCGAAATTCGGGGAGGGCCAGGCTGGCCCCCCGAATTTCCCCGAATCTCAGGCAACACGCGGGTGCCGAATTCGGGGACGGGGAGTGAAAATGGGCACCCGCTTGTTACCTGAATTTCCGGGGGCCCAGACGGCCCCGTCCGAATGTTCCCCGAAATTCACGAGCAAGCGGGTGCCCATTTCGTATGGTGGAATGGGAGCAACAGGCGTGGCCGCAAAAGCCGCGGGGCGCACCAGCAGGTCTCCAGCTATTCTCTCGCTCTAACTGTTGGGATACCCGCCTTTCGATGGATTAAACTCCCGACTTTCGGGCAAGAAGCGGGTGCCCATTTCAGGGGGGGGGCACCCGCTTGTCTCCCAATATTATGAAGGCGGAAAACATTGGGAGACAGGCGGGTATTCGCGTACCCCCAAATGACCCTGGAGGCCCAAAGAGGCATCGAAAAGGCCCAAGAGGCCCCAAGAGGCCCCAAAGCAGCCCCCAAGAAGCCTCCACGGTGGCGGGATGGGCCGAAGGCCAATAGATCCACCGCCCCCTGTTGATTCATCACAGGGGTGCCTGGCGTGCTAGACGATTTCGGTTTTGGTTTTGGTTGTTTTCCAAAAGAACTCCCCCTGGGGCTTCGGCCCGTCCCGCCGGGGTGCCGGGAAGGACCTCCAGGACCTCAATCCCGCAAAAAATCCTCCAAGACGGTTCAAGATGGCTTCCAAGATGGCCACGTGATGGCCACGTTGGCCCAAGATGGCCTCCAAGATGGCCTCCAAATCCGCCCAAGATGGTCCAAGACGGCCTCCAAGACGGCCCAACACGACGATCAGGATTTCCCAATTTGTCCTCCAAGACGGCTGAAAATGGCCTCCAAGATTGCCACGTTGACCCAAGATGGCCTCCAAGTTCGCCCAAGATGGCCTCCAAGACGGCCCGGGAGAGGAGGAGATGCCTCCAAGTCGGCCCAAGAAACCTCCAAGACGGCCCAAGAGGTGCCCAAGAGACCTCCAAGACGGCCCAAGAGGCCTCCAGGAAGTCCTCCAGGAGGGTCCGAAGAGGCCAAAATCATTGATTTTCCGTTGGTTGTTGTAAGGGTTTTTCGTAGTTGCTCCTTTTCGGCTTGCCGACGACCCAAGACGGCCCAAGAGGCCCCCAAGATCGCCCCCACAGCGCCCAAGAGGCCTCCAAGATGGCCTCAGGACTGCCCAAGAGGCCCCCAAGACGGCCCCAAGAGATCACAAAGACGACCCAAGAGGCCTCAAGATGGGCTCCAAGACGGCCCTGGAGCAATCCAAGAGGGCCCCAAGTCGGCCCAGAGAGGCCCCCAAAACGGCTTCCGACGGCGCCAGACGGGCCAGCAGCCCATCAAGATGGCCGAAGTTGGCTCGAAGCTGGCCCAAGACGGCCCAAGCGGCCTCCGAGAGGAAGGCCAGAAAAGGCCAAAAACACTGATTGTCCTTTTGTTTTTAACATCTATATATATATATATATATATATATATATACATATATATATATATATACACACACATGAAAACAAACAAAAAACAAACACTAACAAACAAAACAAAACAAACAAAAAAAAAACTTGACAGTTGCTTCTTTTCGGCCTTCGGACGGCCCGAGACGGCCCAAGAGCCCCCAAAGATCACCCAAAGATCGCCCAAGAGGCCTCCAAGATGGCCCAAGAACGGCCCAAGAGACCCCCAAGACGGCCCCAAGAGGCCCCCAAGACGGCCCAGGAGGCGCTTGAGACGCCCAAGATGGCCTCCAAGACGGCCCTGCAGCATTCCAAGAGGGCCCCAAGTCGGCCCAGAGAGGCCCCCCAAACGGCTTCCGACGGCGTCGGACGGGCCAGGAGCCCACCAAAACGGCCGAAGATTGCCCTAAGGTGGCCCAAGACGACCCAAGAGGCCTCCAAGAGGGCCTCCAGAAAGGCCCGAAAAGGCCAAAATCATTGATCATCCTGAGGTTTTTGAAGGATTTTGACATGTGTTTCTTTTCGGCCTTCCGACGGCCCGAGACGGCCCAGGTGCCCCCAAAGATCGCCCAAGAGGCCCCAGACGGCCCCAAGAGGCCCCCAAGACAGCCCAAGAGGCCTCCAAGACGCTCAAGATAGCCTCCAAGACGGCCCAAGAGCCCTCGAAGACATCCTCCAAGAAGGCCCGAAAGGATCAAAATGGCCTCCAGACGGCCAAGATGACCTTCAAGATGCCCACGTGTTCCCCGAAGGCTTTCCGAACCGACTCGGGGAACACATGGTCCGATAGCTTGGCAGGTCTGGCCTCAACTTTCGCCCACATAGGCGCTTCCCAAAAGGCAGGGGGCGGCGGTGATTCGCCGTAGGCGTGTTCGATCCGCCGCCACATGTCGATTCATCGCAGGGGTGCCTGGCGTGCTGAATCCTTTCGGTGTTGGTTTTGGTTCTTTTTCCAAAAGAACTCCCCCGGGGGCTTCGGCCCGTCCCGCCGGCTACCCGGAAAGATTGCCAAGCTTCTCCAGAGGTGGTTGCAAAGGGTTTTTCCTGCTCCAGACGGCTCCACGACGGCCCAAGATGGGCTCCAAGACGCCTCCAAGACGGCCAACATGGCCTCTAAGACGGCTCAGATGGCCCCAAGATGCCTCCAAGATGGCCCAAGATGCCTCCAAGACGCCCAAGAGGCCCCCAAGAGGCCTCCAAGGCAGCCCAAGAGGCCTCCAAGAGGTCCCCCAGAAGGACACGAAGAGGCCAAAATCATTGATTTTCCCGGGGGTTTTCAAGACGTTTGGCATTTGCTTGGTTTCCTTCCGACGGCTCAACACGGCCCCAGAGGCCCCCAAGATCGCCCACGAGGCCTCCAAGATGGCCCCATGACGGCCCAAGAGGCCCCCAAGACGGCCCCAAGAGGGCCCCAAGACGGCCCAAGAGGCCTCCAAGACGCCCAAGATGGCCTCCAAGACGGCTAAGATGGCCCCACGATGTCTCTAAAACGGCCCAGATGCACCCAAGACGGCCTGAGATGGCCTCCAGATGGGGTGAGACGGCCCAAGAGGCCTCCAAGAGACCTCCAAGACGGCCCAAGAGGTCTCCAAGAGGTCCTCCAGGAGGGCCCGAAGAGGCCAAAATCATTGAAGGTTCTTAGATTTTTGAAGGATTTTGACATGTGCTCCTTTTCGGCATTCCGACGGCTCAAGACGGCCCAAGAGGCCCCCAAGATCGCCCACGAGGCCTCCAAGGTGGCCCCATGACGGCCCAAGAAGCCCCCAAGACGGCCCCAAGAGGACCCAAGAGGCCTCCAAGACGGCCAAAATGGCCTCGAAGGCTCCAAGATGCCTCCAAGACGGCCCAAGATGCACCCAAGACGGCCTGAGATGGCCTCCAGATGGCCCAAGACGGCCCAAAAGGCGTCCAGGAGGTCTTCCAGGAGGGCACGAAGGGGCGAGGCCAAAATCACTGATTTTTCTCAAGTGTTTGAAAGATGTCGGCATTTACTTCTTTTCGGCCTTCCGACGGCTCAAGACGGCCCAAGAGGCCCACGAAACCTCCAAGATAGGCCCATGACGGCCCAAAAGGCCCCCAAGGCGGCCCCCAGAGGGCCCCAAAACGGCCCAAGAGGCCTCCAAGAACCCCTGATATGCCCCAAAAAGGCCCCAAGACGACCCAGACAGGCCCCCGAGACGCTTCCGACGGCGTCAAACAAGCCAAAAACAATCTAAGACTGCCAAAGAAGCCCTCAAGAAGCCCCCAAAGGCCCCCAAAAACCCTCCAAGAGGCCGCCAGGAAGCTCCCAGGAGGCCCCAAGAGTGCCCCAAGAGGCGCCCAAGAGGCCTTCTCCTCCTCCTCCTCCTCCTCCTCCTCCTCCTCCTCTCCTCCTCCTCCTCCTCCTCCTCCTCCTCCTCCTCCTCCTCCTCCTCCTCCTCCTCCTCCTCCTCCTCCTCCTCCTCCCTCCTCCTCCTCCTCTTTTTCCTCATCCTCCCCCTCCTCTTCTTGCTCCCCCAAGCGTTCCCCGAAGGGTTTCTAAACCGACTCGGGGAACAACTGACCCGATAGCTGGGCCAAGCTCTGGCCCAGCTGTCGGCCACAGA